CTTCCCCGACACACCCATGCTGCGGCAAAGCAGACGCGATCGCCCTCCCCCCCAACCCACCTTGAACGTGTGGAGCTCTATGTCGGGCGCGAAGCCGAGGCAGGCGGCGTCCGAGCCGGCGATGACGCCGGCGACAAAGGTGCCGTGGCCGAGGCCGTCTGCGAGGCTGTCCTGGTGGGTCCAGTTGGTGCGGTCCTTGATGTGGCGGACGTGGGGGTGGTCCTCCCTGATGCCTGTGTCAAACACGCCGACCTGTTGGGCGCAGACGTTTTCGGGTTTGTGGTTTGTGGTGGGAGGGTTTGGGGGGAAAAGGTGCAGGGTGTTTGAAGGGGTGCAGGGGTTTGGCAGGGGCGCCGGGCGTGTTGCGGGACGCGGCAGTTCCGAGGGTGGAGTGGTTTCGCAGGAAGGAAAAAGGGCTTCGACCGCGGATCGCCGCGGTGCGCGGGAGCACTCGTCGCACCGAAGGATGCAGGGTTTTTGGCTGTTTCGGCTGCGGTCTCCCAAGTCCAGCCCCCCCTCCCCCAATTGCAGGTGCCGCTGCTCAATGCTTTGGGCCAAGCGCGCCGCCGCTGCAGGGTCGCAAAGCAAGAAGAAAGCACGAGCACAGCCACTAGAGCACCCCCTCCCACACTGGCAGCACGCCTGCCCCTGCAATCGCACCCCCATTTAATACGAAATCGCAATACAAACATAACACAAATATAACAAAACATCAAAACACCGCCGCACCTTGACGCCCTTCCCAGTGAAGCCCTCCTCCCACACAGACGGCGCGCTGAGCATCGCCGCGACGCCCCCGCCCTGACCCGCGTCCTGCCCTTGCAGCAGCGCCCGCGCGCGCCGCCGCCGCGCCGCCGAGCGCCGCCACCGCAGGCGCAGGCGCAGGCGGCGCCGGAGCTCTTCTCGGTGCGAGGGGTCGCTTGGGTCGAGGCCTATGGTGGGCTTCGTCTGGAGGCGGCCCGGGGGCTTCTTGACAGACAACACGTCATCCCAATCAGGGGCGCCCTCGGCGGCGCCGCCCGCGGCCGCAGCCTCGACTGAGCTGGGGGCGGCCGAGGGCGGGGGCGGGGGC